TGCTGACGATAACTCACGTTTTTCTCGGGAGGACGTGTCCACGTCCCATCACGCCCCGCCGTGGGGAAAGGGCTCCCTTCTAGGCAACCCTAGCAAGGCCTGGGGAGACGCTGCAGGGCAGGAGCCGCCTGCAGGGGGCGCCTGTGCGCAGAGCGCGGCCGCCCTCGCCCTCGCCCTCGCCCGGGCCAGGTGTGGGATGTGCACCGCGGAGCTCAGCCCCCTCTATGCCCCAGGCGGCTGTGGGCCGTCTTTTGCGGGGACTCCGGGGCTGTCTACTGGGGCCTGCGGCCTGCTGCCTGCGGGTCAAGCCCCTCCTGGCTCTGAGCTGTTAGTCGTGGAGCCCGTGAGGCGACCAGCCCCTGCATGCGGAGCAGCGCTGGGCTCGTCTCTGGACCTTATTCCACTTCGGCTCTGGGTCTGGACCCAGCCCCGGGAGGCCGGGGAGCCAGACACAGCTGCCACAGGATTCCTGGGTGTGGACAGACCCTGGCAGTCTCGGGGTCAGCGCCCTGCCCGGGCCATCCTCAGGGGTGGCAGGGACTGTGGTTGGGGTCTCATCCCTGGGAGGGCTGGGTGCTGGGACTACCCAGCCTCATGCCGCCTGGCAAAGACCACGGCCCCCTCTAGTTCAGGTCCCCAGGTGAGCAGGGATCTTCAAGAGCAGTGTGAAAACCTAAGCATTTACGGGTTTTGCTCCAAAATAAACACATTTCAAAGTGCCCTCCTTTAAACATGCTGGTTGCCAAAGGACAGCAGTCACACTGACACAGTAGAACAGGAAGGCGGAGGTGGGCTGTGTGCCCTGCAGGTGGCTGTGGTAGCCAGCGGCCCCGTTCTGCAGAAGGGGTATGTCACCGTGCCCGCAGGGACCATGGCGCGGTGGGGCGCGCAGCACCCAGGACCGAGGCTCCCAGGGAGAGGACCCCGCGCAGGTGAAGTGAAATTTCAGATCCACAGTGAGTCATGTGGTGTGTGCCCCAACTGTGGCATGAGGCATCTTTATACAAAGGAAAATCTATTGGAAGCCCAGCTCACTGGGCAGCCTTCCTTCCCTCTGTGAAGTCGGCGGTCCCACGTCTGTGCCTAGAGAAGCCCTGAAGTCCAGAGGACGGCTGCAAACAGTGCTCCTCCCACCCCGCCCACACTGGGTGCAGGCCAGAGCCCAGGCACACGGGGCGCCGGCTAGGCCATGAACCTGCCGGCCCGGCCTCCCCTGGGTCCCACTCACGTCTGGATGTCTGAGTGTCTGTCGGTCTGCCAACCAGAGGCTGCCGGGCTGACTTCTCGTTTTATCAGTCTAATTCTGGGTGGGGTGGGGGCACCCTCCACAGGGCCTGCCCATGTCCCGACCCCTGTCCGTCCTCCACTGGCCAGGACCGTGTTTCCGGGCTGACCAGGCCAGGGACCTGAACCACGGGTGGCCTCGGCTCCCAGCCCCACAGTTCCTGCTGGGCGGCCCAGGCGCAGGGTGGACCCCGCCTCCACAGAAGCAGCCGTGTCTGTCACACGTGTCCCCGAGCACTCCAGACTGGCCACTTCCTCTGGACAGGAGCACTCACTGGCTTGTGACTCCCGCGAGGACCGGGTTGCAGGTCCTAGGGGGAGCGTGTGGGAAGAGCCCTCTGCTGACGGGGACCGGGCGTTTAATTCCTTATTTTAATCCGTGCATGCAGTATGCCCCGTAGGGACGTGGAGCCCCTTGGCAGACCTTGGCGAGCTTGGGGTGTGTGTACGTGTGTATTTCTCCGGTGAGGACGGGGAGGCCGGCCGGCGCCCGCCCAGTTGCAGCAGCTCCACCCTCGCCCCCATGCCCGTGTCTGCTCCGACTCAGCAGCTGGGCCTCACGGGCTCCCTGCCCACAGCTGCCCCTTGTCGGCTTTGTCCTCCCAAGATGGTGCCCGTCCCTGCAGCGCCCCACACACGCCCTGTTCCCCGCCGCCCCTGAGGCCTGAGGACGCTGGTGAGTGAGCAGCGCGGTGGCCTTGTCACATCGCCCAGTGGCACAGCTACCGGACCACGGGGTTTGTGTCCGAGCGCTCTCTGGGCGGGGTGGGGGTGGGTGTGCCCGTAGCTCCGGCTCCGCCTCCAGCCCCCGGGAGGGCCTGGTCCGGTCTTGTCCCCAGCCAGGCACCCTCCTGGCCGGGGGGGGGGGGCGGGGGGGCGCC